CAAACTGCCAAAGCCAGGAGTAAACCAAAGCAAAAACCGGTTTTAGAAGAGGCTCCACAGAACAGAAATAACAGCGACGACGATGAAAGCTGTAACGACGAAGGAAGCGATCTGTTTTTCTGTCCAGAAGAAGGATGTGTCAAGTCCTTTGTACAATACTAGAAAAACATCTGGACTGTGGTTAACACAAGTATGCCCTGGAACAGGAAACACTGTACGACAAGGCAATTACCATGTACGCCACCAAAATGGAGCGTGGTCCTGGCGTCCTACCAGAAATAGTTGATGACGGTATGCGGTGCAGCTATGTCAGTGGAGGGTGATGGCTCCGTGCTACCGATGGGATGGGCTTTTAAGTCAGCAGGAGTACAGATAAAGAATCTCACGGTGGCGCAGAAAAACTATCTGACTGAAGTCTTTCAAGCTGGAGAACGCACTGGGCAAAAAGCAGATCCAACGAGCGTCTTAAAGGCAACGCAAAGAGTAAAGCATACCTTCGACAACTGCGATCTCACACCACTACAAATAGCAGGATTTTTTTCTCGCTTGTCAGCAAAGAAAACGTATAGTGTGGAACAATCCAGTGAGGAGGAAGAACCTGAAAAGAATGAGCTGATAACAGAGAAGGCAATCGAAGAAATGTTCAACGAAGTAACGAAAGCATTAGCTCTTCAGCATTCCACCATATACGAAACATACAACATCTGTGAGATCGTAGGTCAGTCTAGGCTGGCGAAGGTTTCGATACCAACACTGCAGAACATCTGTGCAGCCTTAGAACTGGATGTAGCATCGATGACTGGCCAGCGCAAGCAGCAGTATATGGAAATTATTGAAGGCGTTGTGGCCAGGTGTGGCTGTAAAACTAGTAAGGCTGACCAGAATATGTAGAGATTAACCTACGAAATAGTCAGTGATGTCGAGAATGTCTTATTTCGGGTAAACTGAAATTGACGGCTCTACGCTATGTGTGTCGTCTATAGAACTTTTTAGAGTGACGACTGACGGGGGTTGTAAAGTGTCTCGTCAAAATTATCCTCGTAGCTTTTACGATAAAAGCCAGGGAAAAGCCAACAAAAGGAAAAGTGTTATACGAAAAGGGACAAGTTGTTATAAATTACTTAAGTCTGTGGAGAGAAAGGGAATCACAGCCACACCCACAAACGGAGAATCTTGTACATTTTCAAGTAGATTTAAGGGGGGATGGTCTAATGTAAAGTTTTTTCAAGCTATCTCGTGACTAACAATTTAAGGCCAATCATAAGGAATCTTCCAATTTCATTTTTAAAATTATTTTTAACTGTATCACGTGATCAACCACGCCCTATTTTATCGAGAAATCCTTCGAGTTGAACCGCCCACTGGACAGAAAGCAAACCGTTCTCCTTTTGTAGGTCTACAGTGTCTAATAATACTCTTTTTGTAAAAACAGTTAGAGGAATGGTAAGAAGTCATATGCGTCTCGTCCTAACGAAAACTTTAGTTAGAGGAGGACTTGCACTAGTCAATGAACACCAGTTTCAACTGCAAATTGTAATGATTTGGGAACCATTCCGAGCTGATTTCGCATAGACTTTGTAGGGTCAATGCTTTGATATAGAAAACTGGAGCTACACGTTTAGGGAGTGGTGGGAATCGTTAGTTACAATTTTCGAACACTGGAGGTTGGGGGGCGTAGTCGAACATGTGGCCAAATAATTTGGATTTCTTTTTTCAATTTTTTTTTAAAGTCAGTACTTTACTTTACCATCTATCATTCCTCGTGGATGTCTTTAACAATAGTTTTTGGAAAATTTGCATAGTCTTTGTTAAAATTAGTTTATCGAGGAATTCATTATCCGTGACCGGTCGTGTCCGGGTGATCCCGTTTAACTCACTGAGACAATAATGTTCTTACCCTTTTAATAGCTGAAGACCATTACCGAGCGGAATTATTAAAAAAAAAAAAACTGGGTGATGGTCAGAACCACGAGTTAGTTTTTCCGAACTTGAGATGTGGCGACGTCTTTCTTGAACAAGGCAATTAATTCATCATGGCACCCGCATTTAATCACTTACATTTTCTGTTCGATTTGGGGTAAAGCTTTTAGTAGACGTGTAAAAACTCTTTGTGTTTCATCTTTGACAGTTTTGAAATTTATTCAGAAGCTTGATCTTCTTGAAGTTGGTTTATGTGGTTTATCGCCGTAGAATATAGCTGAGGGTATAAAATGTAAAAATTGATATTGTAACTAAAAAGCCTCGTTAGTTTGAAATGTTTAGCAGCAGCATTATATAAAGGTTCATGATTTTCCAGTCACAAAAAGTCCGTGCACATGAACTTCCGCTCTCAATTCCGGAAATAAAAATTGGTCACGCAACCGTAACGAGTTGCTACAATGTTCTGCGAATCTAACTTGCTGACAACGCCCAGCTCCGTTTTGGCTACGTTCGCAAGGAAAGTGTAAGTTGTTATTATACTATGAACATATGGAAGTCTTCATATGCTGGTAAAGAAAGTCAAAAGACCTTTTAATTTCATGATCAAAAGATTTGATTCCTGTGCGAAATTGTCACAGACTATATTTAAGACATGTTTTCAATGTATCAGTTTGAGACAAACGGCTCGTTAAATTGTTTGCCTTTGGTTTGCTTATTAGTTCGAAACTGATTTTGGAGGAAAGGCAAACGGAAATAACTTTTTAAATCTGATCTCTGATCTTAAATTCAGAGATAATTGGTCGGGAAAACTTCCCAACAAAACATCTCGCGTCTAGTCTTCACGGTGGAGTGTAAACAAACATGACAGCTACGTTATCTTGACAAATTATCTTGTAGTTTGATTGAGTTTTGTATCAAACGAAGGGACAGCAGAAATACAATCTATCCCTTTGATTTTAAAACATGTTAGTTAAATTTTTACGTCAATCCCGCTTTTGACTGAATGCTATATTTGGAAAACTTGTATTTCTGGGTGTTTATTACATAAATTGGAAGGTCGGTTAAAACAGGGCATTGTATCCAACTTTAAAATTGAATTTCTTCGCGCTAAATCATTTCCCCAAAAAATCCTTTGAATATGTAAATGAACGATTATTCGGCTTTCGAAATCCAGATTTTTCGACGTATTTCATTTAGTACCACATACTTAGATTAAAGGTTATTTTTTGGCAAGTTTTCATCTTGATAAAAGAGGGTTTGCGAAATGTAATTATATTTTCAAAGTAAACGGAAAAGAATCGCTCAATTTGCTTTTAACACATATTTTGGCATCATTCTACAAGATTTTGTAGATTTTATTTCTCTAGAATGTGTTATTTCGCTACGCGAAGCATTCTTTTTCGACCGAAATTGTAAGCTCAAAACGTGGCAAATTCTCAGGATTCGGTTATTATTGATTTTCTCGAAAACTAATCGATATTCAGCCAAACGAACTATGCAGCGATTTGTTTCACATTAAGGTCTACCTAACCTGAGAATATGGGCCAAATTGAATTTTGAGCTGTTGCCACGAAATGTTTGACCGATGGTAACATTTGCTCTTAAGTAGCAAACGGAATTTATCAAATTAACAATGTTTTATCACGAATTTTTATCAACAAAGTATCACTGATCAATAACGAAAGCTGTTGCAAATTATTACTATTATCTCCTTTCATGAGTTCTATAAATCTCCAAGTAAACTTAACCGACTGTCACTTTCACGAAAATGAGACATTATGTCTATAAGGGTCATTCTAATGATAGCACATTGCTGCAATTGACTCCTGATTCTGTTTTCAAATCATTTCAAAACAGAATCAGGAGCCTATCATGCAGAATGAGTGGACAGCATTAATTATTCATGAACGCCGAAGCGACAAATTCAAATGCACGAGCGCTTTGAATAAGCTCCGAATAAGAGAAGAATGGGCCTTTTTGGCCACCAGCGTTGGTAAAACTCATTGGCGCGACTTCGTTAGCTCCAAAATTACAAATCCACTGACGAAGTATTGAAAATGAATGATTTGTCAACGGTTTAAGCACAAAAGATAAAAATTTTGTGCAGCGGAAGTACTATCCCTTAGCACTTGAAAATTGCTAAAAAGAGGGCATTTTTTGTATGAAAGCTGACTTTTGGCGCGATTTTCTTGAAACCTGTGACAAAATCCTGAAATCCACAAATAAATTATGTAAGATTAGTCTTTCCTTAAACAGAATACTTTTTAACATTTACAATTTATGGACAAGAACCACTGTTCCTGCGAGTTTGAAAAAGTCTGGTAAAAACTTAGCGTACCTAAGACCAGCGAGCTATTGTTTTAAGCATAGGTATGAATAACAATGGCTGTCAAATATAACAATACGCCACAGAAAACCACTCACTTGTGAAGTACGTCATTAGCTGGTGCCACGAACTTTAAAATATTGTCTGCTTTCAGTCGACTCTTCGTATTGATCGAGTATTGAAGAGGGACTTTCATCCCTTCACCTGCAATATTACAGACCTATGCTTCTAGCTCAACTGTAAGTAAATGTCCCGAGAACAATAGCCATTCCTCCGCGATCTATGGTGCTGTCACGTGTTACTGAAGTGGCACTGTAACTCCCTACTGCTACTTAAGTCGATTGACTACGTTAAACTGAAAAGAAAATAACTGAAAAAAAAAAACATTTCTCTGAATCTCAAGATGAATCAGCTAACAAGGTTGTTGAAACGTAAGTTCGCAATGGTCGGTTACTAGGGTGACGTGGGCGAGTGGGCCACTGAAATTCTGGAAAGCAGTTTCATGTCTTGATTGAAAGCGCAATGGAAAACTGAATCAGAGTACGTGAACTATCCTGTTGTTAGAAAATGACTTCACAGCGCGTTTCATGACTGCCTACCACATAATTTCAATGGTTTGGTTTCAATTAAAGTTTTATACTAATGTGAGTTTACCACTTGTGGCAAAATGAATGGTTGTTTTGGTAATAATGCTGTACAAGTGAAGTTGATATTAACTTAAAGCGTTATACTGATTTTTCCAGATCAAACCATTATGGCACAGAGTGGAAACGGAGCAGCAAGTGAGGGTGATGTTACATCACTTGGTACCGGACAGGAGCTGAACTTTGATGATGACACACTGAAAGGTAAAGATTCTTACAACTGTTAATAGTGTATCACCAAAAGGCCTTTAATATAGCAAACTAAGGAGAAATGAAATAAAATACACAAAAAAGACAAAGAACCGTCATTTGAAAACATTCAACATACGGAAGTGGTTAAAGAGTCAAAGTCGTTAAACATTATCTCTATACTGAAGGTGGTTTTTTAATATTTTATCTAGATTAGGCTTTTCCTAGAATTTGTGGTCGAGTTTATCACTTGTGGCAAAATGAATGGTTGTTTAGGTACTGGTGCTTTATATACAACTGAAGATAATGTCAATTTACAGCTTTATACTGATTTTTCCAGATCAAACCATCATGGCACAGAGTGGAAACGGAGCAACAAGTGAGGGTGATGTTACATCACTTGGTACCGGACAAGAGCTGAACTTTGATGATGACACACTGAAAGGTAAAGATTCTGACAACTGTTAATAGTGTATCACCAAAAGGCCTTTAACAGAGAAATTTATGGAGAAATGACATAAAAGATACAGAAAGGAAAACCGCAATTTAAAAACATTCAACATAAATAAAGACTGAAAATCGTTAAACATTATCTCCACTGAAGGTGTTTTTTATTTTTTATCTAGATTAAACTTTTTCTAAAATTTGTGGTCGACGACTTGTTCCTTTATCTTGCGGATTCACCGTTACATATAGCCCTGCATTAGCTCCCGGCAAGTATGATTCCTATTTTCCCGCCAACCCGAAAGATGCACACACACCGCATAACGGTTTATTAGTGTGAGCTACAAATTTAATGCATTTTCAGCTTTTTTAGCATTTTTAACATCAGAAAGTGAGGAACGGAACGACCAAATTTGCTCCTATTTCACGTGACCAATGTCATGATCAATGCCATTGACGAGTTAACAAGTGACGCCATTTGCATGCCTAACCAAGGAATAAATTATCCCCCTCGTATTTTTCTTTTTAATCTGTAGCAAAGAGACGAAGACGGAAATCAATACACAAAAAAGTTGCACACGATAGTCCGTATTGTACTCCTATCTTTTATACCCAAAATTATAATTCACCATTTCATTTTTTTATACCATAGCAAGTTTCGTTCCCAAGGGGTATTCAGGATTCCAAGAGACGTGGATGACCGAATGGGGGGAAAGTCAAAACCCCAAAAGTTCCCTGGACCAAAAATTAACTCCCACAAATATCCGATACAGAACTGCTCACCAACAAGATTATTCAGTTAAAATTAAGCCAACTAAGAAAATACTTGCCAAATTTTTCCTACCCCAAAAGAATCCCGGAATTGAAAATTTTAAACCCAAAAAATCCTTCTATCATCGCCATCACTTGAAATCCGGAGTACCTTCACTGGAGTTTCGTTCCACCCCAAATTTCTTAATCTAAAGTTTTGCTTATGACGTACTTCATAACCGCAAAACAGATTGTCGAAAATGAAGCTGAATCTGAGAGACCTATAAGTAAAAAGGAAACAACCACGAATGCGAAAAGTACCAAGTATCCTGTATTTTTTGGAAACCGAAATACACTCAACTGGAAAACGAAGCACCCTCAACCCCGGTGAAAGGGCCTGCAATAAACCCAATGGGTCAGTTAATTTGAAGCGTGACCATCCCCTTTGGGTATTTGCGTTGCCTCGAGGCACTGTTGCCCACGGTGGGGCACTTGGAATCAAACGTATGTCTCGGGGAGGGGAGAGTATAGTAGAGTTTTACATTTTTAGCGCCCTACATTGAGAAAGTTTGCGGTATTGGGGTGTTTGGCAAATTTTCATGCAGTACTTAATATTCAATTGTGGTCTTGAATTCTGATATTGTGTTAGTTCTAAACATGCGGAATTTTTTGTTGTTGGCTCGGCGATTTTTAGCATGGTTTAAGTTGTCGAATTTGTCGATTTTTCTTCGCTGTGTTACGGAGTTCGGTATACCACTAGCCGGTTCAATATTAATTTTTTAGCATGCGTATACTTCTACTACACGACCGGCTTCGATAGTGTGATATCGCGCCCAGTTGCGGTAGTATAAGGATTTTCACTTTATATTAGTGCCAAACATTATTCCCATGGTAATTTGTTATACTTTTGAAGACCCTCGTTGAACCCATCAACCGAAACGTTCAGAAAGGTTGCATTTATACTAAAGGATGCAGAATTCCTACGGTGCAACCACAGCACCTTCACATGGTACCATTTATTATTATTAACATTATGATTATGATGATGTTGATGATTATGATGATCATTACTATTATTTGCAAAGGTTATTTCAGTGTTAATCCAATCTTAAGTTTTGGCAGTTTTTATAAAGGTGAAAAAAGTGCTGTTGTCAATTTGGTCATAGCCACCAAATATCTTTAATTAGCAAACGGGATTTATCTAACTAACAATGTTTTTATCACGAATTTTTATCAACAAAGTATCACTGATCAATAACGAAAGCTGCATGTTGCAAATTATGACTATTATCTCCTTTCATGAGTTCTATGAATCTCCAAGTAAACTTAACCGAGTTTCACTTGCACGAAAATGAGACATTATGTTTACAAGGGACATTCTACTGATAGCACATTGCTGCAATTGACTCCTGATTCTATTTTCAAATATGGTTCTGTCACGTGTTACAGAAGTCGCATTGTAACTCCCTACTGCTACTAACTCGATTGACTACGTAACAAAAAAAATAACTGAAAAAAAAAAAAAACATCACTCTGAATCTGAAGATGAATCAGCTAACAAGGTTGTCGAAACGTAAGTTCGCAATGGTCGGTTACTAGGGTGACTTGAGCGGGTGGGCCACTGAAATTCTGGAAAGCAGTTTCATGTCTTGATTGAAAGCGCAATGGAAAACTGAATTAGAGTACGTGTACTGTCCTGTTCTATGAAAATGACTTCACCGCGCGTTTCATGACTGCCTGCCACATAATTTCAATGAATTTGTTTCAATGAAAGTTTTATACTAATGTGAGTTTACCATTTCAGTGTGGCAAAATGAATGGCTGTTTTGGTAATAATACTTATACAAGTAAAGAGAATATTAATTTAAAGCTTTTTAGTGATTTTTCCAGATCAAACCATTATGGCACAGAGTGGAAACGGAGCAGCAAGTGAGAGTGATGTTACATCACTTGGTACCGGACGAGAGCTGAACTTTGATGATGACACACTGAAAGGTAAAGATTCTTACAACTGTTAACAGTGTATCACCAACAGGACTTTAACATAGCAAAATAAGGAGGAATGAAATAAAAGATACAGAAAACAAAAAAAAAAAACCGTCATTTGAAAACAATCAACATACGGAAGTGGTTAAAGAGTCAAAGTCGTTAAGCATTATCTCTACTGAAGGTGGTTTTTTAACTTTTAATCTAGATTAGGCCCTTCCTAGAATTTGTGGTCGACTAATTTCTTTATCTTTCGGATTCATTGTTATATTTGCCGTTGCATTTTCAGCTTTTTTAACAGTTTTAACCTCAGAAAGTGAGGAACTGAACGACCAAATTTGCCACTATTTCATAAATCTGTGATCAATGGTCAACGCCATTTATGAGTTAACAAGTGACACCATTTGCCTAACCAGGGAATAAATGATCTCCGTCATATTTGTTGTTTGGTAATCTCTAGCAAAGAGACGAAGACGGAAATGAACATATTAAAAAGTTGCACACTGTAGTCCCGTATTGTACTCTTATCTTTTGTACTCACAATTATAATTCATCATTTTATTTTAGTTTTCTTTCTTTATTTTTCTATCACTTTTCCTGCCGAAAGGATCCTCTCATTGTTTTAATTGCACAATTACTGTATTTCATCGAATAATAACCGTCCCTCCACTAATCGCCTCCCTCGAATAATCTCCCCCCTATGACGGAAAATTTTAAAATAATCGTCTCGCTCCATTTCTTCTATTCTCTCCCTGTCAAGTTAAAATTGCCACCTTAGGCTCTGACGTCGAGGATACTGCACTTACATTGAAACTTAACCAAGGACCAAATTTGGAACACTTGTAAAGCCCATGTTCAAAGCTTTGTGGGGAGCACGGAACAAGTGAGAAGGGCGAAAGCTGGACCCAGCGAGGAGCTCGACCGGGGTATGATAGGAACGAGGGAAGAACGCGAGCGGGGAGTGATGGGAAGGAAAAAGAGAGAAAGCTTCGCTTCCTCTCCCCTTCCCATCACTCCTTTCGGCTCTTTTCCTAAAAAATGAACTCAAATATCCCCTAAAAAGTGATCGTGAGCGACTGGGGACAATGCAGGGGAGGGGACGGGGAGGCTGTACGCGGGCTATAGACCATGAGGGTTAATGACATTTCAACCTGCTTCATTTTTAGCAATAGCTGAGGTGTACAAAACCGAAGGCAACGAAGCGTACTTAAAGGACGATTACAGCAACGCCGTTTACTTTTATACTGAGGGAATTAGAGTAAACTGCGTGGACGAAGACCTAAAGTCGAAACTGTACAGCAACAGAGCGTATGCAAACCTTCGTTTAGGTAAGGCTACTTGTATTTAGAAAGTAAAGAAATATTGCCTACTTTTTGATTGGTTAACCACTGATATTGAATATTTTTGACTTGCTTTGGAATGGTCCGTCAGGGGCTTGCTAGCTTTGGCTGATCTCATTTGCTTTGAGTTTGCTTCGCTGCGTTCGCTGTGAGTGACTTTTTGTTTGTTCGTATTTTCAACGTTCATAGGAAATTACATTTACTCACTGGTAGATGCCAAAAACGCCACGGACATTCGACCATTATCAATCAAACCAATAATAGCAGGTGATTTCAGAGGTTTATAAACTTATTAGTATCTAAGAAATAGACTGGGTTATCATAATTATGCTAGTAATGTTGGTAAAGGATTCTAATTATCGCGTTCTTGTGAAAATACCGTAGCATTTCTTTAATTTGTTTCCTCACAAAAGTTCAAACGGCTACAATTAAAGTTCAAACTTTTAAATAACATGGAAGAAATTGAAGTTTAGATTTGGAGTCCAGACTTTAACCAGTCATCATCAAATTTTGTTTGCTCACGGGCTCTTGATAGCACAAAAATGGCAATTACGGTTTTTACTCGTAGGCTACTTGCGATTAGTCTTTAACGGCATAGTTCTTCATTCTCTTGAACATAGATTAGGCTCCTATGACGTGCATGAGCTATTACGGATTCTTTAGTTTAACTGTACGTACCTTTTAACCTCCGGCTTAGTTTTAGAGTGGCTTATTGTTTGAAATTGTCCGGAAATTGGCCATTGCTGTACATGAAAGTGATGAAAGTAACAAAATGACAACTGAAATCACGAAAGTTGCGCACAATTGTGTCTATCCTCATCGCTATAGAAAACTTATTAAACCATCCAGAATGATGATATGCTTCTGGTTCATCACACTGCGACAGACATACAAAGATACTGATACACTATAAGAACACTGACAAATGAGATATTTTGAGAAATGGCAGGAAGAAAGGGAGTAAGACATAAGAAATGTTTTCAACATGCTTTATTTTTACGATTTTAGGAGCGAAAGCGTTTGCAAAGTTAAAACTGTTTCAGCTGGTGATCACGTGGTGTGATCAAGGATTAGCAGTATCCTTTTACTCTTTATATTTCTCCATGGCTGAAAGATGGTTTATTTTCGCAACGTGTTATGTACACTTCCGTTACGAATTGGTTGCCATTTTTCTCGACTAACGGTTCGGTACTTATCTGAGGGCGACGCTTATCAAAACTTCTTCTTTTCGAATTACAAAGCAGTACGTGATATTTTCTTGTTTCTTTGTTTGTTCAAAAACGACCACAAAAGCACAGAAAAAAATGGAATTTCTAATAAAAGTTAGTTTTTAAAAAGTTTGTGTAGCAAAAGCAGTGTCAACAATATTAGTCGTATTAGCGTCTCAATATTAACTACAGAGGATTATCCTCTCTTTAACCATGTTGCAGGGAAAATACTGCGTACAGTCAAACCTATATAACTATCACCCTTGAGAAATGGGTGACCGCTATATGTATATACAGGTTTCCTTTCAATTCAACTTGATATTGAGTTCGTTCAACGCTTGTAGCTCCCCCATTCGATTGCCATGAAAAGGTTAACTGATTGGACGATTTCGCTAGCATTCATTTTTCCGTGTACCTTGGAGCGCACATATTGAAGTTTGTCCATGATTTGATCGTAATCCAATTTGAATGACCATTATAAACAGGTCCAAAAAAATAATGGAATTGTGCATTTTGGGAGTCTAAAGGGTGACCGCATCCGTTATAGAGTGGTGACCGATTTATACAGATCAACTTTACAGAACATATATGGCAATATTTCGGAGAGTTTTTCAGTAGCCGTAGTATACAAGGTGGCCGCTATATACAGGGCCGTTACATACAGGTTTGACTGTAGTTTTTTTTTTGCTTCTCATTAGGCAGCTCATAAGAGGCAACGCTTTTCCGATTTAATTCGGTACACGTTCTTTTTAAAATATGTCTTGCTTT